GTCTGCCATGCAGGAAAAGTAGACCAATTCAAGGTCCTCAAATGATTGAAAAGTGGGCCACACAAATGCAACCGGGATAGGTTAATCCAAAGGGGACACACACACACACACACACACATACACCACTGAATTCTTTTCCTGCCTGATTCCAATACAGACTAACAGAAAAGGTTGGGGGCTGGACAAAAAGAAACATTTTGATGCAAAAATTAATCACATGTTCCAAATATATTTAGGTTATTCTCATGATTGGAGAACTAATCTCTTAATATTGTGAATATAAATCAGCATTTAGGGTAAATTTTCACTTTAATTTTGGTTAATTTTCTGGTGTTAATTTGAAGAGCTAATGTTTTATGTATATTTCATATTTTTAAATATATATTTGAGAACATATAGTAAAATTCAAATATCTAATAAGGTTCTTGGAATAAAAATGCATAGAAGACATAAACAAAAAAAAGGGAATAGAAAGCAAAATCTTTATTGCCAAAGTAAAACAATTTAACAGTAAATTTCACACTGAGCTCCCTGGCAACCAGGATACGATGGGAAACATTGGTTTACATAGTTCTTCTTAACAATGATTGCAAATCTAGTGTGAAAATACATGAAGATACCTTTTATAATTAATTAAAGTACACTGATTTTGTAAAAGAGAAAATTCTAAAAGTACTGAATTCTAAAAGGAGTTTATGATGAGGAACTAAACTTATATAGGACAGTACAACACAATGATTTATATCATTGACAACAACTCATAGAAAAAGAGCAAGTGTGGCTCCAAACTACTCTTTTGATGCCCTGTGAAATAAGCCAGATACAGAACAACAACAAAAACTACATGATCTCACTTAGATGTGGAATCTAAAAAAGTCAAATACATAGAATTGGAGAGTAGAAAGTTGATCAGCAAATGCAGTGAGGTGGGGGAAATGGGGAGGTGGTGGTCAGCGGGTATAGAGCAGAAGTTAGGTATGATAAATAAGTCTAGAGAGCTAATGTATAGAATGATGACCATAGTTAACAATACTGCATTGAATATTGAAATTTGGATAAGAGAGGAGATTTCAGGTGTTCTCATCACACACACACACACACACACACACACACAGGTAATAATGTGAGATATGTTAAATCATTTGAATGTAGTAATAATTTCACTATATGTATGTCCATCATCAAATCCTCATGTTTTTCCCCATAAATATATGCCATATTTATCTTTTTATTGAAAAAAATAAAACTACATCGGGAGTGCTCCCAGTGTGCTATATTGCCCCTGTGCAAAGCATGGTGCCTTTATTATCAAATTGGTTCATAAAAATATGAGTTTGAAGTTATTAGTCCCAATTTTCAGAATAGAAGTTTATTTCTCAGTGAAGGTAAATAATGTTCAAATTACTTGGCTGGTAAAGGGGCTGAATCAGGGTTTAAATTCAGGTCCAATTGACTCCAAAATCATGATCTTTTCACTGCACTCCGTAAATGAAAACTTCTTGATTCTCTGCTAGGCAATCATTGCAAATACAGAAAAAATGTACAGAGTTAGGACATAAGAGTTAATCAAGTCCAATCAGTCTTTGCTAATGAAAGGGTACAATAGCAAAATTAATTCCAAGTGAAATAATTCATATATCACTGTGTGCAGCACTTCACCTTTCCTCAACGGAGAGGGTGAAGGATACAGAAAAGTAAGATCAGGCACTTCAGTCTTTAAAGATCCTGGAGAAAGGAAAAGGGAAGCAATTTCTGCTGTGTAGTTTACCACACAATATGCCTAAGTGGACAAAAGGAAATGGCAGACAGAGGGAGGTGTAGCTCTGGTCTGTGATTAAATAAGGGACTTTGTTTTAAAGAACCCAGGAAATGGAAAATGTAGAAGGAAAGAGCTCATTTCTTTTTTCTATTTTTAAAAATGTCACAACTAAGCTCTGGCTGGTTGGCTCAGTTGGTTGGGCATCGTCCCCAGCACCAAAAGATGGCCAGTTTGATTGCTGGTCAGGTCACATGCCTGGGTTGTAGGCTCAATGTTGCACTCTCAAATCAATGTTTCTCTCTCTCCCGTTACCTTCCTCTCTCTCTAATAATCAATAAAAATATTAAAAAAAATTTTAAATGTCACAACTAAAAGAAAGTCTAGTAATAATGATTATTACAAAAACAATAGCTGTTAAATGTTGAGTGCATTCTACACATTTTAAGATTCTGGGATCTGTGCTTCACATTTAATTTAACTTTTGTTTATTTATCCTATATTCAGGTCACTATGGCATTATGAAAGCTATTGAAGACCCATACTAACTCATCGGGAGTTAGATGGTTCACTGGATTTAGTCATTTAAAAAAGTTCCATTAAATCAATACCCTTTGAGCCCTTTCCATGTATCTCTCAAGTCTTGAATATGGTTTAAACAAACATGAAAAATGATCCATCTAGCTTTCAAGGAGCTTGGCTATAGTAAAAGAGACAGAGATATCAACAGATTTTCTTTTAAAAAGGCAGTTCGGGGAGGCTGATAAGGATTATTTTTTGTCTAGTGGTTCGGAATTATTTATTATGCAGAAATTTCCCCTGTCATTCCTACTTAAAGAAGAGGTGGAGGAGAGCATTCAAGAGGCATGTAATCTAGAATCATGTTGTCTGTGTTCAAATTCTTCCTCTACAGATTTATTAATTGAATGATCATGGACTTCTCTGAGCCTCATTTTTACTTAGAAAGTGGGGATAATAACAGTATTTACCTCGTAAGGTTGCTATAAGGATTAAACTAATTAATATAGAAATATATTTGGAAAAGTGCCTGGAGCTAAGTGAGAGAAACCAGAGCTGAAGTTAGAGAATGACAAGAGCATGTGATGTCTGTGGACTCTGGCTTTTGCTCTGATTGAGATGGGGACCATTGCAAGGTTTTGAGAGGGGAGTCATGAGATGCCTTAAAAGTTTTACAAGGAGCTTTTGGGCTGCTGTGTTGAGAACAGCCCACAAGGGGGGCAAAAGCATGAAGAGAACAAGGGTATGCAAAGTCAAGATGTGGTGAGATTAGAGCTGGGTGGCAATAACAGTGGAGGTAGTAAGTGGTTGCATTTTGAATTTACAGTGTTTTAAAAATACAACCAAAAAGATTTTCTGATGGATTAAATTTGAAATGTAAGAAAAATAGAAGTCAAGGATGACACCAAGGTTTTAGGCCTGATCAGAGAAAGTATTCAGTTATGACAGGGTCTTTGGAGGCTGGAAGGAGGAATTTCAGGATATCAGTGTTGAAAAAAAGTAAGTGGGAGAAGCCTAGTAGACATCCGAGTAGGCAGCTGCACGGCACCTACAGGTCCGGGGAGATGCCCAGACTGGAGGTAAAATTGGAGTGTTGTCATCACATAGATGGTATTTAGTGCCATGAGACAAGATGAGGTCACTAAGGGAGGGAGTGCAGATAGAAGAAGACAGAGGTCCAAAGTCTGAAGTTGGGGCACTTACCACTCCTCAATCTGGGAGAAGAGAAGGGATCCCCAAAGGAGTCAGGAGTAGGACAAACAACATGAAAACATGGTATCAGGAGAGTAAAATAAAATCAGTTTTAGGAGAAGAAAAGTGTTAATTGTTACTTATAGTTTAAGTGAGATGAGGACAGAGACACCTTCAGCTGGAGTAGTTTCATCTTGGGAAGATGAATTCTAGGGACATGGGAGAAGCACAGCCTGGTTGGAGTAAATGGAAAGAGAGAACGTGGAGAAGAGCTTTTCTTAACAACTCTTTACAGGAGTTTTGCTGTGGATGAGCAGTAAGAAAAAAGGGGGAGGGAGACAAGTGCCTGGAGGAGGAAGTGGAATTAAGAGAGCTTTTTGTTGCCAAAATGGCTCAGATAACATGATTTTATGATCATGGCGATGATACAATACGCGGGGAAACAGATGATGTGGGAGAGAAGAGAGAGATGCTAGAGCGCTAAGTGTTGGAATGATCCATGTATGTTTCTGTGGGCCAAGGGGGGCAGCAAGGGGGGTGGGGGGGACTCGTCCTATAAAACACCAAGCTCACTATAGGCAAACCTCTCCTCAAAATTAGAAGCCAGACTTATACTTGCACAAATGAAGAGTTCATTAAATAAGCTATCTGTTGAGTGCCCAGGAGTGCCACTCACGGTGTCAGGTACATTAGGTACTTTATCCAGGAGCTTATTAACCACCCTGCAGCATCAGGGTCATTATTACTACACTATAGATGAAAAATTGTTGTGGGAGCTAAAGCTACTTGCCCAGAGCCATACTGATCTTAAGTTAGTGTGCGCTTCATTGTGCTCTTTAAAAAAAAATCCTCACAGGAGGAAGTTTGATTTTGGAGAGGGAGGAAAGAAGGGAGGGAGGGAGAGAGAGGGGAGAGGAAGA